CTATGGTTGGAAAGAAAATTAAGCAAAGAGCCAACATATGTTGGCTTCCTAACCTACCCTCTTCTCTAATGATGAGAACGTCCAGAACAGGTAAGGACTTGTTCTCTTCCATTTCCATCGTGAACCTAATGTTCCTTTCATGTTGGTTTAGTCAAAGTAGGAAACTTTCTCAACTTTTTCTACCATGAAGCCATCTGGTAAAATCGACCAACGAATTTCTTCTTCATGCACTCTTTATACGAAATGAAAGTCTCCCCAACAATGTTATTTCAAGAGATTCATTGAAATCCAATTTATCTTCGTATCTGCACCGTAATACTAAAATTTGATTATTTTTTTTGTTTTCATTCTAACTGTAGATGCATGTGATGATGGGACATCATATCTTACCAACATGACAATCTTGTAACAGCCGGATCCCGATAATGGGTCATAGTTCTCTCTTGAAGATGGTATAACAGAAGAAAGTGTGAGGGTTTCTTTGAACACTTTTTTTTAATCCCCACTTTCTTACTAATCCGCCTATCTTTTATGAAAGAAGGCATGACGGCAAAATTGGGACATGGGAAAAGGTCTCAGCCTGTCTCTCTTTGACTAAATGTTCTCCGTCTGAAAATGTATCCCTCAGTAGAGAGACATTATTCTCAATTAGGCCCAAAGGATAATTATTTTCCAAGAATACATTTCTCAGCCGTTGCAACTCTTTAGTCAAATGTTTGCTATCCGCTAACCTCATACTTCCAAGAATCATTGACTTCAAAATTCCAACCTTCTTATAAACATCTCTTCATAATTAACCTGAAAAGGTAAAGACTTATTCTCTTTCATTTCCATCGTGAACCTGATGCTCCTTTCACGCTGGTTTAGTAAAAGTAGGAAACCTTCTAAACTTTTCTTACCATGAGGCCATCTGGTACGATTGATCAACCAATTTCTTCTTTATGTTATCTCAAGAGATTCATCGAAATCCAATCTATCTTCGTATCTACACCATAATAGTAAAATTTGATTATTTTTTTGTTTTCATTCCAACTGTGGATGCACGTGTTTGCTTGCCATCCGATTAGAAACTCCAGTGCCGATTAGGTGAGCACAAACATGGTACAGAGCAAACTGGAGGCAACGTGAAATTGGAGGTCAAGTGAAGAGTCTGTCAACGCAAGGATGCACGTGATGTCTGCGAAAGAAGCGTTCACTAATTTGGGGAGTTAGCATATACACCGAACAATGCTACGAATGTTAGGCTTGAAACAGTGTGTTTCTCCATTTTTACCTCAGTTTATCCATGACCTGCTGACAGATATGAGGTTTGGTTTCAACTGTAACATGTTATTCTGCCCCTCAAAACGTCAGTTACGACTCTATCTGAATGTAGACAGGTCGTGGGCCATGTCAAGTCATCGCTGGCTCCATGTTGGAGGCTAAAATTAGGCAAATGTATGTAAATTCAGCATATTTCGCCTCGCAACAGCGCTCCAGCGTAAAAAGGAAAGAGCATCATTGCGCAAAAGGTTTAAGGAGAAAGGCGGATTAACATGAGATGACACAATAGGGTGGTCCAGCCATACTCAAAGTTGGGTCGCGAGAGATACATCTGAAATGTTGACATGCATGCCTTTTATGTACACAGTTTGACACATTAAACAGCAATTTTCTACCTGTCTTGGTCGCACCGATCTAGCATTCTTAATAATTATTATACTACTCATTATGAGGCTATTGTATGAACATTATATTCGGTTTTTATAAATGCATCAAAGTAGATGTTTGTACCAACTAGTTGTCGAAGAATCCCTAATAGGTTGACGTCAGTTTGCCATTCAATTCGTCGAAGTCTGGTCAAATGTGAGGCATCGTTTGTTGCATAATTGTTGAGCTCACTTCCATTTCGAGTGAAGGTGTTTGGCGGCGAGATTCGAACCACGCTTCCTCTTGACCAGCTGTAGATTGGCTTTTCTGGAACATTCATGCTGACGCTGTTTCCAAGGTAATCTCTTTCGATTCGTCCGTCACATGGCGAAATCGTCAAATGACGCAAGAAAGCTGAATCACCTTTTCGCCGGAATCGAACGCGATCCCCGCGGAAACAGTGTCATCATGCATGTTCCAGTAAAGCCAGTCAAAGCGTGGCCGTCTTCTTCTGGTGGAATCGAGCTTCGACCCTGCTCCTGTTGGGACTCTAACTTGGTCCTATCGATGCAGGTTCATGCGACGAACGCCTGCCTCGACCATTCCGATGTTGGCGGTTCTTGCCACGAACCCTTATTCGAGTTAGTCGGCGTCACTTTGAGTTCGAGTCCCGCCTCATGCGGACTTGGTCACGTACCTCTTTCACCTTGGCCTCGGCCATCATGGGCGACATGGTACCCCAGCGCGAGTAGAACGGTGAGCCGCTGAACAGCCAGAGGCCGTTGTAGAGACCGCGACTGTAGCCTTGCAGTGCAAACATGCCGAGGAGGGCGGTGCCCGACGAATGGCCGCCCAGAACGATCTCATCTTTCTTGGCTCCGAATGCCCCCGCGGAATTGTTTCGGTACCATTCAAGGGCTAATCGCAGGTCCAGTAGAGCCTGATTGCCCATCGCCATTGGCGGCAAGTACAGGTTGCCGAGGACACCGAGACGAAGGGCCACCATGACGACAACAATATTCTGGTCTGCGGCAAGGACGGCGCCATTGTAGAGCCGTTGGTTGATGGAGCCTTGAATGAAGGAATGGTAGGGCACCCAGAATAGGGTGTGCTTGATCTCAGAACCAGGATTAATTTCGCCCGGAACCCAAATGTTCAGGTACATACAGTCCTCGGACACCAAACTATTCGGGGCCAGATGGAGCCGCAGCGGAGCGATGGGCTGCTGGCCTGGGCCGGCGACTGGCTGGGGACACGAGGGTTTCTCTTCTG